GAGGATGCTGCTCAGTGGAGCGACCTCGGATGACTTTGCAGTTGTCGCCGATGTGAAACAAGTCTGTGTCTTAGCTCCTAGCCTGTTTAATATTTATTTTCATACCATAATGTCTTGTGCTTTTGAGGCTGCTTGTGCTTATGATGTTCGTGTGGAGCACAGTATTGATGATGGGTTGTTGAATATCCATCGTTTCGGTGCGAGAACCCTAGTCTGTGAGACAACTATCCGTAGGTTGCTGTTCGCTGACAACTGTGCGTTGTTTGCATACAGCGCAGATGAATCGCAGCACATAACTAGTGCTCTGGTTTCGATAGCGACCAAATTCGGGCTCACCATTAACAGAAGCAAAACTGTCTGTCTCTTACAGCCTTCACTGGCGGTGCACTCTGCAATGTTGCCGCAACTCAGCGTTGGTGCCGAAATATTGGAAACCATCCACTGCTTCAGCTACCTAGGAAGTGTGGTTGCGATTGACCAGCAGATACACAACGAACTGCGTATCCGAGTACCGAAGGCAGTCGTGGCATTCGTGAAGCTTGAGTACCGCGTGTGGAGAAACCACCAGCTTACCGTCGGCACGAAGTTATTAGCGTACAAATCCATGGTGCAGTCTGTTCTTTACGGCAGCGAAATGTGGACGGCATACCGACGAGATGTGAGATATCTCGTGCGGTTTCATCAAGTGTATTTGCGACTTACTCTGCGCATTGCTTGGTGCGACGTAGTTTGGGACATGAAGATGTTGCGCCGAAGTGGAATGTATGTAGTGTACTGCATACTTTTGCTGAGACGCTTGAGGTGGTTCGGTCATGTGTGGCGTACCGATTCGACACGCATACCGAAGCAACTATTATATTGTCAGCTAAGTATTGGGAAGCGGCATGCAGGGAAACCGAAGCTCCGTTACCAAGACACAATCAGTGTGAGCCTATCGCATCCTAATTTTAATTGCAAGTCATGGAAATCGAAGGCGGTTGATCGGTGTGCATGTCGCGGTCTGATCACGAAGACAGTTTGCGATGATCAAGCGAAGGCCCTCTTGCATGCACAGAGAAAGCGGCAAGTGCGGAAGCGATCGGTGCCTATCGGGTTTACTTTATCGACATCGAGCGCATGGTGCTGTAGCACATGCTGTCGCCGATGCATGAATCAGACAGCGTTGGTGAGCCACGAGCGAAGCCACTCGAGACCAGCATCGGAACGACGACGGATGCTACTGAGAAAGTAGGCACAACCGGCACAGCGTTGGTAGGTACGCTGTATTCGATTTACTAACCGCGCGCTTGCGTGCTGTTTCTTTATTTCCGGTGGTGGGTTTGTCATCGTGTCTCAATGCATAAGTTTACCTGAATTTGCACACGTCACTTAAGCTAAATGTGGTTAAGTGCGCTAACATTTTCGCGTTTATGACATTTTTCAAAAAGATATCCTTTTCAGACATCTTTAACTTGTCTCGGATCAGTTGGTAACTAATTTATTACGCATGCTCATTCCACGTAGATTTATGTCAGCACTTCTATATGTTTTATTCGATATATTATTTGTTATCCTCACTTCGAATGATTGGCTGTTGTTTGACATCCCCGATGTGGCTGCGCTTAATGTGCATGTTGAAAAGATGCCTACCTGTCTGTTACCCACTCCCTCGTCTATACTGGCTCCAGGAGGCAGTTGTTCGTTGCTGGGGCACGATTCTCATGGCCGTGCTAAGCTCGAAGGGTGGTTCTGTGCACTGTTTGGAGAGTGGACTATGGTCCAGCCACCGCCTTGTGTATACTTGATTCCCCAAATACAGCGTGTTTGTATTTGTCTGTGAAGGAGTGTGTGCCGTCTCCGTTAGTGAAATGTGGCTCCCATCCAACTGCTTCTCGGTCTTATTCCCTCGGGTTTACACTGAAACTTGGGCGTGTAGTTTGAGCTGTGGGTGATGCAGCATAAGCTATCATTGGTCCCTCTGTAGGTGCAGGCATCCTTTGGCTGTTGTAATTAGGTCGCAGTGACAAGCAGATCCGGAACCGGATGCCGCCAACCTTAATTTTTCTAGTCTACAAGTAGACGGAGAACCACAAGAATATTTAAAATCACAGCACGGAACGATTGTTGCCAAAAGATAACCCAACACAACACCGAGGAATTAATGCTTTCTTCCGAAGGCACGATGCTTTCCGGCTACCCAAGCCGAAGTGGGGTGTTGACTTTGATACACCACCCAGAATCTTCGGCTTACCAGGCTACCCGCAATGCAGCAAAGCGGAATTCAGGGAATCGCGCCCATTTGGAGCTGGTGAATAATAGCTTCGTGTATACGTTTTTCGTTTATTCGCTTACCAAAGAGTAGCCCACTCCTCTTCACAGTCTCAGCATTAGTTTGCTGAGTAAAGCAGTGGGTTTTACTTGATGGCGAGTCACATCCAGTATGTCGCAGTGCTGTCCAACACTGAACCCCTCAGCTGGCACCACAGGCGGGTTGTTCCGCAAGTCATAGGCAACAGCTCAGCATGCTACTGTATTAATGTTGTGTAATGTCTCAAGTGTGCATCTCCGGTCACGACACATTAGCTGAGGTGGGTTTCTCATCCTCGGCTAACATGATGATTGCGTTGAACGCGAGCAGCCCGCTGACACTTAACTAATTGGATAAACGTTCTACTTGTCCACAATGCAAGCGCCTTTCCTGCGTTAGGATTTCTCAACATATACTCGTTTATGAGAACAAGTAGACCGTTTGGTAAGCAATTGCTTTCAATGATTCATCATCAGATCAGTACTCTCATATATTGGGCTAAAAATGGAAAAAGTAAAATCGACCAGTTAGTACGAGTAACATAGAAGAAAAATCGAAACCAGTTAATTACATGTTACGGAGTTTGACCTCCTGTTGTTGATCTCAGTATCCTCCGTTTTCTCGGGCCAGGAAAGCTGTAAAGGCTGGAATAGCTGCTTTTGCGGGCATAAGGACTGTTGAAATAATCCAATACAAATTGCTTCGGCCGTCGCAAGTGTACGAAGACGTTGAGATTTCGATCGGTACGGTGGAACCTTGTATCCAACTTTAAAGGCACGTTTGAGATCCACCTGATACCCACTGTCGACGATATGTGCCAGAATGGAATTACTAATGGCCCCGGTGTCATCTTGATGCAACCAGCGTTTACTGTTGTTAATATGTGTGCAGACATCGGCAACTAACCTATTGTTCTCTCTGTCCTCCTATGTCACCCAAAGCGGGGTTAGAATGAGAGCACTTCAGCGGGCTGTTGACATGCGCATACGTTGATATGCGTGTTACACCACGAAGAAACCCCATAGGGAATTCCCATCACCAACACTTTATGATTATGCCTGAGGGCGGAGATTGTTTGGGCACCCACACACACGCAAGTTTTCGCAGCTCACCTTTCCTTCCTAGATGCGGATGTTTCACAGTAAACTCCTCGGTATGCAGTGTTTTCGGGCGGACAACACCCAATTTCCATCCACTTCGGCTACAGTCCCAGTAGATCGCAGTGACCAAGGTGCACTTCACTGTGAACCGCAATCTGCATTGAGATTCCGCGTTGCGATCCGTCCAAACATCGAGTACTTCCAGATAACCCTCCAAACTTTTTGGACTTTTATCTGGTTAGTATGTGTCAGTGCCACGACTGAAGGTAAACGGGGAATTATAATTATGAATAATAGATGTCCCAGTTGTTATTGTATCGGACTATTAATAATCCTATAGCTTTCTTCATTATGATAACAGAGAGTAACAGATGTCAGGAGGACGGTGATTGGGACTTGGGACTTCGTATTTTATCTGGATGAGAGCCACGACGTGGTATGGCTGATTGGAGGAAGAGAATCAGAGTGACTAAACAGTCAGCCCCAAACGGACCGAAGTTTTCTAGTAACATCACTATCCACTTTGAAGCTTCATGCCTCAACTCCTTCACGCGGTATCTACTCCAAAAAATCTAACTAATGAACGCTAATTTTTCAGCAAAACAACCGCACTCCTAAAACCACTCAAGTATCGGTACTAGGCATAGTCAAAAGAGACTCTTGCCCTCATTTATAACATACCGATTGTTCTGTTCTCTCACTGTAGTGCTTCACAAGAATTGCCACTTGCTTATTCGTTCCGTAGAGCATCGCTCCAGACCCGGTGACTTATTCAGTGCTCTTGTCTTTATTTTATTTTTAATAGGCATGTTATGTGACCACACAGTTTTTCTTCTCACATGATCAATGACTTTGTCTCGGCCTCTTCACCATTATCTGCCAGTGTCCCCTTGATCTGTGTAGAGTAGCGCTGCCCTCTGCGCTGCTAACCCAGCCGGGGGAAAAATCAAACACCGAAGCCCGCTAGACTGAAATATCTTAGGGACGTAACACGGTTAATTTTATAGCTCACCTGCTATTATCGGCCGCACGTTCTGCTCTGACTCACACCACTTGCCTGGACAGCTTCCATACTTACTAGCGTTCCACACTGGCCAGCTGTAGTCGCGCTCACTCACGCCTGTCGCGTAGCAACCTGTATCATGACGACGTGCAGATTTCATCAGCTTCCCGCGTGACAGCCTTGCTACCACCGGCCGGATAGCAACCCCGTGTGATGATGACGGACGTCTCGAAACCGTGTCACGTTCTGAGGCTGCAGCACATAATTACAGCGCTTCTTTTCTCGTGTTCCGTTACATCACATTTCTCTCTCCCCCTAGTTATCACATTGAATTGTTTAGCTGACAAAGGGTAATCTGTCTTCTGGGTGGATGTACTTAGGTGACCGTCTTACATCTCTTTTCCACATTATTTTACGTTTATTTACTGATTTCTTAGCTGCATCCGCGGTGATGCCTTAACTGCGATAGATGCGTACCCATGTTCTATGCAGAAAGCTTTCTTTGACTTGGTTATCTTGAAGTGTAATATACGTCCTATCCTCTACGGTAACGCCATAACAAATCAGCCGTACCATCTCCAAACACCGCAATGTCATATCCCATTTTAGCTACTTTCCGCTGTTTACCTCGATAAAGTCTTCCACGAAGATTTTCAATAAAAATCACCTGCCAAACTCAGACTCTTTGGATCCCCGATCGTTTATCAACAAGAATAACTCGATGACGCTTCAGTCTCTGGGAAACACTTGGGTCAATCAAATATTGAAGGAGGTATGTTACATGACCATTTGTGCCCAATACATAACTTCTTTCCGTCAATGTCCGTAACCGACACACTCGCATTTCTTCTCATCCGATTGAAAATGCTTAAAATCGTTTTCGTGACGCACGTGGCTTGCCGAACAACCTCTTCGTGGTGCCAGCAGGGTGCTTCGGGATTCTCACATTCTAGCAATTGGTTCAGCAACCGTTTTCCAGGACGTGGTGGGTTTTCGCCTGGCAAGCGTTCTCCCTATAAAAGCCACAATGTCCGTTGAACAACACTGTGACGTGGCGGACGTGACTCGCCACTAAATAAAGTCACAGCCCCTTGCTTCATCCTGGCGAAGCATTGTATTCCAGCAAGTTTATGCTGTAATTTTGGGGAGCATTGGGCCCCTGTTTGACAAAGGAACAAACGAGAGGCGTATGAACTGAGCCATCAGTCACCGGCTCTGAATGGGCACGATTCCCTAAATTTGCTCCGCTGCCTTGCGAGCAGGCTATTCGGCCAAAGGCTCGGGGTGGTGTCTCCTAAGTCAACACCTTACTTCGGTTTGGGCAACCGGGTAATATCTCGCCCTCTGACGAAACCATGGACTTTGATGTGTTTTGTTGTTTTCTTTTACTATTTCTGTACCTTCTTATGAGTCCCATGGTTTCTTATGACTCTATGTCTATTTGTAGACTATTGCAATATATATATATATATATATCCCCTAACTCCACTCGCGTCCCCGCTGTTAAACGTTCGTACAATCGTTCTACGTTGACGACGTTTTAAAGGCAACCTTGATAAATGAATTGAGCAGGTCTACGGCGTTCGCCGCTTAACATCAGAGAGCCCTTAGGTAATTTTGTGCATTCGTTATCACCCCTCTTTGCACTAGGGGAATGATCCAAACTAGCCATCATGGCTTCTAACTGTCTCCTGCAGTACACCGGTAGGCAATACCGATTCTTCGCTGCCGCGCAACCACCATCAGTGGCACTTGGGCTAAGGATACTGCGATGGTCGCCTGCTCCCTACGCAGGCTCAAACCCTCGCCCTCGGATTACAAAGCAGGCTTTTCATCCTTAAGGCTACTGGTCTGCTTACTCGACCTTCATCGTGTTCCCAAGATATTCACCTAGCCCCTTCACTCTAGCCTCCTTAATACCCATCTGCATACTGGCATTTAACTGGCTTAAGTGTATCTGAGTGCACAGAGATTCCAAACAGCTTAATATCCACCCCTGGGTGCTTAAAGCGCTTTGTTGAATTGAATTGCGTTAGTCGAGAACTGAGGCTTACAGCCTTCTCACTTTGTGTTTATCGGACTTCAGTCATTGTATGTGAAACATTTAATTTCAGCCTCCCTACAGATTAACGACTAATGGGTAGGGGGGATTTGGGTGTAATTTCAGATGTAGTTCGTCGCAGACTGAAAAACGCTAGACATCTATTTCGACTTTCTGGGTCTCGTCATTGGTACGACTTCGTCAGACCCCTGCCAGCGTCCTACCTCATAACTTTCGGAAGCCAACAGCTTGTGCCACTAACCCACGGGTGACGGCGGCGGATCTGTGTGACAGACAGTTGACTACGGTATAGCACGGCTCATCCTCTGCGTTAATAATTACTGCTGCACCTCGTAGTGTGTGTGCGAATGGGAGTTTTTCCACACCTCCGTTTCGTCATGGCTTTCGTTACCGTCATTTTGACAGCCCTTGACTCGTACATCACTGATCCAACCCCAATCCATGCTGCTTACTGCTGTATGGTTTTTTAGAGTCGATACGTGGCTGAAAGCATTGTCTACCTGTGTTGTAATCCCTCAATCGCCTATTCGCATTCACATACGTGCGGGAAACATCATGGTATATCCAGTCCTCGCACGGCGGCTAGTGGTCGCGTGGCAGCGAACTGTCCATACGGGGAGTCGGCGTGCTGCTAATGTGCCATGGTATTGTAGAACGCCGTTTACGGAGAAAGAACGTGTCAACTGGCACCTTTTTTACTTTTTCTTATGTCGCGCGTAGTTTATATCAATCAATAATCGTCGTTTACTTGCTCTGGGCGACCTGCGGTGTTTGAACGTTTTTTTGTCTTCTCTTTCAACCGTGTATCGTGTATACCATGACTCCGTTGGGCCGAGCATTGGTCCGCAGGGTGATATCCTTCGAATTCATCTCGACAGGTAGTGCACATTTTCATCCTATTTTCCCCATCCCTACAACTTTTCGCCCGAGAAAATAATGAATGACTTGTTCACTAAGAATATGTAGACGATTCGCTTCTTCTGGAGTTGAAACTAGCCCCTTAAGCAATTGACGTCGAATTATCTGACGCGGCATCCTGGACACTTCAGTATGCTCATGGCTACAGGAGACTTCAACAAACATTGGTTGAAGTACAACTCACGGAATATGCTTCTCTATCTATGGATAAGATCTACATTACGCTTCAAAGCGTCATTTGTGCTGGGTTTTCATTTAGGGACTTGAGAGCACAAAATGTTGATCATCTAAATTATTTGATGTCTGCGAACCACCACTTATGCTTGCTGGGCGGTTCGAGTGGGTGATACTGATATCCGCTGGTTCTTATTTTGCTCCAGATTCTCCTGGACTTAGTGGAATAATGGTCTTGTAAACTCCAACCGCATCCACTGTCTAATTCGTGCTCTCTTATGCTGTCGGGTGCCGTTGACCAATGTGCCGCCTCTAGTCATCTCCGAATGCATCTTGGTACTTTTGTCCCATGGTAAAGACGCACTTTCTTTTTATTTTACTGGTCCCGGAATCGGTTTCCTCAGTACGTGGAGGCCCCATCTGTCGAATGCCGTCACGAAGCTATTGGTGCTCTCTTGTCTGTAGCTGCTGACTTCTGTTCAATACTTATGATGCGCTCCTCCTATCATCTCTTTCCTGTTGACTCCACATCTTTTTTGACCTTTAGGTTATTTCCATTATTCGTCGAAATAAGATCTTATGGACGACGTATCGACTTGCAGTTGGATCCATTACATCTTATTACCAAAGTAAAATAAACCACCCAACTTATCTTTCTTCTGTCTCCAATACTGACTCGTCGTCACTGGTTCACATTTGTTTGATGGCAGTTGAACTGTTTGCTGAGCTTGGCAATTTGATTGCAAACGTTTCATCACCAAACGAGGTGACGTCATCATTGCGTATTCTCACCGACGCTCCTCTACGCCACTGCACGCCACTCAACTACGCACTGATGATGTCACCTCGATTGGTGACGAAACGTTTGCAACGAAATTGCCAAGGTCAGCGAACAGTTCAACTGTCATCTGCACAACCTGAACTACCAGTCTTCAATTCTACATTTGTTTGACTTATCTTGCTGATGTCGGTCACTCGCATCAAGGTTTTCTTTCAATTCTGGCGGCTAACATCACGAGTAGCACTTTTCGGACAGCACATTTGTGCCATCCTCGTTTGGCTATGAGGCCAAATGAGCCCCGTGAGCCACTCACATATCATGTACGCCATTCCCTCTGAGGGCCTCGTGTTCGTTCCCTCGTATCGAAGCATGCAGTACTCGTCTTTAAAAAGACTTTATGGTTATTTTACTTCACTGCCAACAACCATCACTTTGTTCCGTGTATTTCGCTTTCTGGTACCTGATCTAGCTGCATCCAAACCTCTTTCTTCAGGCTTCTGCTTTAGCTCTGAGCTACTTCTGTGTGGCTTCCAACTGTGCTCATCAAGCGAGTTCTTCCATTATCCAGCGCGTCATAAACGATCTGAGCACAATCAAGGATTTCACTCGAGCGACACAACTGGGTTGCTCTCCTTCGATCGATAAACCCTGCATCATCTATTCTGATCGCTCTTTTCAACGCGATTTTTCCTCCGCGTCTCCGCACACCTTAAATCGTGTCGATGTATCCAGGATGACTTCTCTGGATTTGCAGGGATTCGGCTGTTCACCTGGAGGTGAATTGTCGGCCTACTTATCCTATTTCTCTGCTAACCATCGACTGAGTTGCAACGCGCGAGAACGTGCAAGTCTCCTTCCCACTCAACCGAAACATTCAGGCAACTCACAGCACTGCACTCAAGTTATCTGTGGACGCGCCCAACTCGGATCAGAAGCAGTGAGTATTTTATGCTTTGCCACATAGGGAATAATCCCCGTTGCAATCACAAAAAGACTGGTTAGCAACTAAGCTGGTTGTCGATGGTTCTTCATTTGGCCAAATACAACACATTTATATGGGGTGGATTGAGTGACCACCAGCCATGCATTGTGCATCGACCCACTTTGTATTTATGCATCCCGACCTGTGGTCGGGTGGCTTAACATTCTAGCTCTTACTCTTGCGGTCGTCGGTTCGCACCGGCGTATGTGCAGCAGACTTCCTAGCATGCTTAACCCCCACGCGACGGAGCGTCGTCACCCCTACGAATCCGCTGTCAATTTTGCTTCCTTTTTATTATTAATATTTGCTACTTAAATGGCATCTCAGTAGCTGAATTAATCGCCACTTATCTTTGTAGCACTCAGACTATCACAAAAGGGTTTCTGAGAGATTTGTAATCGGTTAGTTTATTTGATTGACCATCACAAGAACTTTTCCCGGCGAATCGTCACAGCATCCATTAAAACAGAAACAATTGATCGCCATTGTTAGGCAAACTCTGCTGTAATGACTTTAATGGCGAATTTTTGACTGTTTTCTGACAGTTCAGTAATATATCCGTCTCCATTTTCGGCATACGGTACCCGGTAGATTGCAGCGCTGTAATAATTGCGTCGCGCTTGTCTTTCCGCTCCTTCTTCGTCTTTGCTCTTCATACAAATTTTGGTCACTATTTGTAGGACCACTTTTAACATCTTGAATATTTCCATCATCTCTAACATGTTCACGTCCGTTCTAAACCAATAAGTAGATTTTTTACTTTTCACATGGTTTAACTAGCGACTACGATCATGTAGAGTATGGATCACTAGTTGCACATTAGGCATTCTTCTGCATGTGGAGACTTAATAGAAAGTAAAGTAAGTAAGTAATCTCAGCAGTCTATCAACTAGACACAGAGCCAACATAAAACCATGGAGATCAGCGGATAGGGGACAGTCATCGCGTATAATCATCGTGGCATAGTAGTTGAAGGTGAGCAACACACTTCAGCTAATATGCCACAGGAAGAAAGGAACATTTTGACAAATAGTAGAACAAAACATTTCTAGTTAGCTTTTCACACGCCGATTTTTCTCTTTTTTGCCATTTTAATGTTTGAAGTATTAAACATGTTAGTCAATACAATACTGTGCACAATTCTTCTGCTGATTCCGGTTGCGGGCCATGTCTTCAAGAGTGTTAAGCCATTGGCACTCCTCATCTTTGGGTCCCAATCCTCGATCCAACAGCGGCTTGACACTATGTCAGCAATTTCATGTGCTGCAGCCAACTGGAAGGCTGACGACCACGCGGTCGCCTCCAGCCAGGTCCTTGACGAGCGAATAGAGCGCGACGCGGTAGACGCTCAGGTGCCATGCGTAGGACATGACCGAGCCGTCTCAACTAGCGCAACAAAACCAGTTTGTTGAATGGAATACTCGCATCTCCCAATATGCGACGTCGAATGTTATTATTGCTAACTCGATGTTGCCGGCAAACACGAGCAATCCTCCTTGAGCAACCGTTATCGAAAGCAGAAAGACGACGCATGTCTTCCACGCGAATCGGCCAGGACTCACTCCCATACAATAACACTGAGCAAACAGATGCGCTGTAAACGCGGCCCTTTAGCGAGAATGAGACGTTGCGACGACGCCACAAGTGCCCCAGATTGACAAATGCTGATCGAGCTTTAGCGATGCGAAGAGAAACTTCTTTGCTGATAGTGTCGTCAGCAGAAACACAGCACCCAAGATAGACGAAACTATCTACCTGTTCAAGTTGTGCGCCTTCGAGAGTGAGCACGGGAGCAGGTGAATGCCAATTCTTGAGCAGTACTTTACACTTCGATGGGGCGAAGCTCATGCCATACTTAGATGCTTCAACCGCCAAACGATCCAGAATGACTTGCATACCCTGAGGATCGTCACCAAGTAAGGCGATATCATCAGCATACTGTAAGTCGGTCGCGCGCTCACCCGGTGGAAGCTCTAGATCAAAATGTTGGAATCCTTCTAGAGCACTCAACAGAACGTCTTCGATTGCGAAGTTGAAGAGGAATGGGGACATAGGGCAGCCCTATCGCACACCACTATTGACAGCGAATTGCGTGGAAAGCTTGCCATAGACTCTCACTCTGCCGGATGTATGAAGGTAAAGTGATCGCCATAAAAAGAGTTGGATTGCGCACTTTTGCAGTCAGAAATACGCATATTCAAGAACTCAATGGACGGTCACTTGTCGTTTTTGATTTCTACGCCCGTTCATGGTGTTTTTGGAATTAGTGTCCTCTTCCTGATTAGCAGCAGAAATTTAATTCACCATTTAATTTTTCCTTTATGTTCTCACTGAAGACCGCGTCCTACTCCCTAGTGAAGGCAGGATGGAGTGTTGATGGAGTTGGAGCGGAAAACGTCGCTTTATTACGGGACTGAAATTACGCATGTTAACTGGAGCGTTTTAATGAGGAAAGTATTACTTTTTCTACATTTATGTAATACAAACTAATCAGTACTAGAAACGAGGGTTGGAAGAATCTATCTGCTTCCATTTTTAGTTCCGTTATCAGTGACAACGTATTGTATGTCCAAATGGGTATGAAGGAGTAATAAGTTGGAGAAATGCGAGCCACAACGTAGGTTTGGCACTGTGAACACTTACTTGTTAGATGCAAATAGAGAAGAACTTGAAAACGATGGCTCTAAGATTTTTCAGTGGGTGCGTTTTTATATGGGCGCATTGCACATCGTCCATGTAGGGGAGATACGCTCGGGGAGTTGGAGTTGGATTGGATGAAAGGATCGGTGATTAGTTTTGACTGTTTAAGTTACGATTGTGCGGATGCTTCTCATAGGCACACGACGAGTCTTGGAGCAGAGAAATGAAAAAGACAGCGGGAAGTGAATGCAGCTCCAGGGTTTTCACCTATAACATCACTCGGGTTTTCACAGACTCCTTGTGCTTCATTGGGCCAGAAGAGAAAGTAAGCAGGGGATGTGGTAGAGGTGGAATGATTCTTCGAATCAGTAAACATTATTGTCCACTATATGCGTCTAAGTTGTGTATAACTCTATGTTTAGTAGAATACGGTAAATCTCCTTTGGATCCCATGTTCCCAGTCTGTGCTAACTTGTTCCATACAGATGCGTATCGATTACAAAGGAAGTTTGCTCTTAGGCTAATTCGTGTATTTTCTGTTTTTAAATACGTTTTGTCAATTCTTCATATTTTACCTAATGGGAGGTTGAAATATCACCTCGACCTCTGTAATAACGGATCGTTTGTAGATCAAATCAAACATAAAGCCCAAATTAAGTTCTCTCCTCCTTAATCAGGTGTGGGTTCGATTTACATCTCGCAACAACGATCATAGTGCTCAAGATTACCACAGTTTGTCATCTGATGCCTTGTGAATTAACGCTGCACTTTTTCTAAACCAGTGCTGTCGTTTTTTGGGTTGAACTATACTATACCCGAATAATCTTCCAAAAAAGACTTAAGTGTGTTTTACATAGGCCGATTTTGGGCTCATTCCCGACGAGGAATTTCAGTACTAGCCCTGGTAGTTTCCTAATTGTTGCGACTGCACCTCTTCGGCGAAATTGCCGGAGCTTGAGTAAAATGCTTCGCGCCGGATCACGACTTATGGAACAGGAGGACACTGCGTCACCACTGTGCAACGCCAATGAGTTGGGTGCACTACTGCATTGATGATGTATGCAGTTGCATTTCCCTGGTAAGAATACTATTGTCCAGTTGTTGTTGTTGTTGTTGTTGTTGTTGTGTCAGGTTTCCAGCTCATGCAGATCAGTTTGTCTGTCGACCAGGCCTGTTATCCAATTCAAATCGATAGGCTATTTTGATGTCATCGGTGAATCCATTTGGTTGTTCATATTTTTTGATGACATCGAAGACATCGTAGGTGTGCCTAAAAATACAAAAGAAGACTTGAAGCACTTCATTTACCAGCTACTGCTACTTACCTGCTATCTATCCCGCACTGAAGATGCCACCTCGAATGGTGGCGAAACGTCTGCAACCAAGTTGCCCAGCTCGGGGAACTCCACAACAACTGATCATTAGATCATGTAGCTTGCTTCCTTTTGAAAGCATGGGTTAATATTTTTCCTGCATTATACCGGGCAGCAAATAACCGTGAAATCCAAGCATGTTCATTGCTAGCTATACCGAAGGAATGTACCTTCGATTAAAGCTCTCCATGTGGTGCCCGATCGAATGCTTCATTCATATTAAAGAATATGGTAGCTAAGTGATTACCACAGTCAGTCGTGGTATGTGTAACATAGTTTAGGAAATGTGCCTAACGCTTCCGTTCAGTTAGGCAACTGTGATCCGAGCATCATCATCATTGTACACGTTAGTTGCAGGTGGAAAACACCTCAGCTATGGGTGCCGCAATACAAAAGACAAGAAGTAAGCAACAACAGAGGCACTGAGGTATGGTTTTGATTCCGTTGCAACGACTCACATCGCCAGAATAACAATGACTAACAACTGTAAGAAAGTAAGGTCGAATACACATAGAATGTTAAAGAATGGAATCAAGTAGGAAGTGTATTAAACTAATCAGGATGCACCTGACAGGTTATAGGAGATCATCTTTTTAAAAACCTGTGCTGTGAAGTGTTGACCAACTTCCTAGACGATGGAGACTCGACCATTTCGGCTTCTATTGCGCTTTCCATCTTCGAATCCCGAATAAATCTATGGCTCACGCGGGCCACTTTTGTATCTCGGTGTAACCATTTCGTATTTCCAAATATATAGAACCACTTAAAAATCCATGGATTAAGTAAAAATAGTTTGCAGCAGTATTTGCGTATCAGGGCTCCAAATTCGAGCACAGTAGACGTGTCTATTGCCATCCCATGGTCGGAATGCCTGTTTCAAGTGTGTTTGGGGCCGAGTTACCTGTGGGGTAATGGCTGATTACGACGCGGGGAAGTGAAGGCTGCAAGGAAGCCGTCTCACTGATACCCCCTTATCTTTCTACGATAACTAGCTATTTGTGACGGTATGTTGTTAACACAAGGTATCGGCTCTTTGAACCTGAATGTTTGCTTAGGGCATTAAGGCTTTCCGGTAAATCCCTCTTCTCTTCCTCTTATTATTCTTTATTTCGGAGGTCATCTTGATTGTATGGCAGCGAAGCATCAGTTCCAACGGCTAATGTACTGCTGTTCATGGTGATGATGATGATGATGATGATGATGATGATGATGATGATGATGATGATGATGATGATGATGATGATGATGATGATGATGATGATGATGATGATGATGATGATGATGATGATGATGATGATGATGATGATGATGATGATGATGATGATGATGATGATGATGATGATGATGATGATGATGATGATGATGATGATGATGATGATGATGATGATGATGATGATGATGATGATGATGATGATGATGATGATGATGATGATGATGATGATGATGATGATGATGATGATGATGATGATGATGATGATGATGATGATGATGATGATGATGATGATGATGATGATGATGATCCGCACGTTACTGTTTTGATCAAAGTCGTCAGTATGTGAATCTTGCGCTTCGACTTCTTCTTTGATTACTTCAGAACTCTTACGCTTTAGATGGAAATTCCCGGTTGAGTTAACGTAAGTGTTTCAGGCGCTGTTCGTCATTATCGCGAACGCCACGCTCATGCTTCAAATGAGTATATTTTTAATCTTTCGGCGTTGTATCCCACAAATCCGATGGAGTGCTGCAAGCGCCCTTGCTGCTTTGGTTTTAACGCGCAGCTCATCTACCTAACCTATTCAGCTGACTCTAATCATTCTTCGTTCCCTTTGTCCTTAGGATTGCGGTCGTTCGGTTTATCAAGCTGGACCCGACTTCTCAACTGATCCTAAGACACCCATCGCGTCTACTTCGAATCCTAAGGCCCAGTCGCATTGCGGTTCGTGGTTACAGATCTTTCCCGAACGGGTGCTTTCATGCGCAGACAACATTGCTATGGACTGTTGTATTGAAGCGATGCAACTTGCAAGGCTCCAACGTCTGCAGGTGAGCAAGTGCACTTAGTATTCGTTTTTTTGGAATGTTTCCTGAGCTATACATGCTGTTCGAACCGCGATTTGTCAGTTCTGTTCGAACCGATTCCCAACTCAGCTGTGTGGGTCCTGTGTGCTATTCAATCTCATTTCGTCACTGAACCGACTTGCTTTACAGTGTGGTGTATATTGTTTTATTCATACTCAACAACGCTGGATCTGAAGTGGGTTGCAATGCTCATTGTTACTTTTCTCAGTTTTTATTAACTTTATTTTTATTATTGTGTAGTGGGAGCTTTGTTGTGGTCTGGCGAAGATTCCTCGCATCTTGACTCAATCAGACAGCCATTATACATCTAGGAAAGCACTGGACGGCTGTTTCGCCCTATTGGAACTCGTTTGTAATGCGCACCCGCCGGATTCGAACCCATGACCTTACTCTTACGAGCCAGCGACTTACACCACTGAGCCATGGGCGACGGCAGCGAACCGCCACAATTGATATCTAACTGCGATAAAGCGCGGCTCATTCTCCACTGTCATGCATGTTATAGGCGTGCGGAGGACAGGGCTGGCACCCAGTGCTGCGATTTTCTTTGCAAGCCGCTACCAATCGAGGTGGCACGTAGACTGCTAAGGCAATTGCTGCTAATTAATGAGTACTAGGAGAATTTGTTGTGTTTCGGTGAAGATTCGTTGCATCTAGACTTTGCCCGACAGCCACGACACATTTAGGAAAGCACTAGGCAGTCGTTTCGTATTGTCGGGACTCCTCAGTCACACTCATCTTCTAATACTGGGAACTCTGCCCACCCTTATCACCGACGGCACTTTCAGCTCACTTGTTTGTACTTTTCGAAATCGTTTAGAATTCATACCAGGTTGGATTTCTGTTCCGTTCTCAAATCCATTGTATTGAAAATTCTTTGCAATAGCTTCCATGTTAACTAGCCGTCCACACGCACCTGAGCAGGCACTAGACGACCGTTTCGACCTGTTGGATCAGGTCCGTGATGCGCATTCCTCAACTCCATACGAATCCGAACACATGACCACACTAGCGGATCGCGTCACTATCCAGCAGCTTGTGCCGGTAGACGATGACGGATGGACGGCGGCGAACCGTTATGAAGTAAATGCCAACTGCGAGGATATAACGCAACACATGCTCCGCTGCCATGCAAGTTACCTAGGTTGCAGAGCACAATATTGTTGGCCCCGTGAGTCATGTGATACCACGAACCAAATCTATCCACCGTAGCATTTGGAATTTGTTGGAGCGATTGTTTCGATCTACTCGTGCATCTCTCCAGATCACCATCAGTGAACCAGTAGTACACGCCGTATAATATGCCTAATTTGGCATTCAGGCTTGCTTCTGGATAATCGCCACGTCGTTTTATCCTTCTTGCACTGCTCACCCTATCACTATGCGGCTTGCGAGCAACAGTTGTACAGGTGACGGCAATCGTATTCTCCTTTTTACTTTTTCGAAGTTCTCTTTCTTCGTCCTGCATTTTCGGGTTTGGTTTTTGTCATTCACGTGAGTTGTGGCGTTACGTATGCCTGCCACATATCACATTTATCACCGGCAACTTAGCTCTCTTCTGGTTGCAGTCAGCTGCTATTCAAGCACCATCGAATGTGCAAACGCTGCTGTGCTGTGTACACCTAGACATATTCTTCACACCTTCGAAGCGCAGGGTACTTTTGCAGGACCGGTTCGGTAACTCGCCAGTTTTCATAATCACCTAGGCATTATCCAGGCAATTGATCGGTCTATCTAATTCGATGCGCCTTTGTCACCATTCGCGGCCACCTGTGGAGTCATTGTATACGCCGGATAATGTTCGTGTACCTTGTTAAGACCTCAGTCACTTATGGTGGTAGTGGTGGTTTGCATACCTTTGGGTCATGGAACAGCAGCAGTGTGACGAACGTTAACCTGCATGCGTCAGTGACGTGGCCATTGCGTGACGAAGCCATCTAAAGGCTTTTAATCCTCCAAAGTCTGTGCACTGTGTGTTACTCACACTTGATGGGACCACCAACTTTGTAGTAATGAAGTCAACCAATCGGTGTTTGATAGCAGATCAAATTTTTAATGTTTTCACCCCAGCAACTCACAAGATCAGCCACAATCCGGAAAAGCACCAGACACGTTTCGCTCTATTGGGGCTCCTCTGTGGTAAGCTGCTAGGATGAAAACATTAAAAACTACAGTTAAAATTCTCCTGTCCATAAGCAGATGTAATGGTTTGTTAAATTTGAACTGCCCTGGATGACTATATCGTTCTCTTCATTGCATACGACCCCTAAGGGGTCTATCGATCGCGTGACTGTACACTCTGTGTTTCATAGTTTCCTGCAGATTCCGCCATAGGTAACTTTCTCTGTTTGGAAATAGGCCCTCCATATAGATGCATACCATACAACAACGCTGTACAAATTCTCTGTTCTTTTCCTTTACGAGGACCCGACTCTGCGTACCGCGGTCTTTATGTATTCTACTGATTACTGGTGGGAAGCAGCAAGAAGTGGTATCTCTGTTTAGCTGCATCTAATGTCACTCAGGGACAGAGACCCGTTGGGTTAGGGTGCGATCGATATATTTCATATCGGCAAAGTGTTTGTCCAGAAATTTCTTAAATTC